TGCTGCTTGCACTCGCTGCTGGCAGCTGACACCGGTCCCAATTGCTTGGCATCGTCAGCGGGTGTGAGTGATGGTTGCCAGCCCTGTTCGCCCCTGAGGGCTTCTCCACCTCCCCCTGCTCCTGAGGGGTGATCGGGGCAGCAGCCACCACTCGCACCCGCTGATGGCACCAGCCCCACTCACACCCACTGTTGGAGCTGGCCCCTATCGCTCTGTGCTGTCAGCAGGTGTGAGTGGGGCCAGTGCCGTCAGTGTGGGAGGGGCAGTGGAGGGAGCGGGGCTGCCGGCAGACAGGGGACTGGGGGCTGCGGTGGGAGGGGCCAGGCAGGGGTGCAGAGGATGGGTCAAAACCCGCCCTTGGGCCAACCGCAGCCTTGCGGCCCACAGTTCCTTTCAAGGTGCATGAATTCTTGCAATGGGCCCCTAGTATATTATATCATCTTATACATATGCATATACACATATACACATATGCACATATATATTTGTAAACAGCTCCCAGGCCTTTGAATGGAGGAGTGCTTTGAGCTCTTGGGAAGAAAGGTCATGTGAAGGTAGTAACTTTCCAGTTGTAATCAGGAGAACCATGTAAATTCTTCTATCCACAAATAGTTCTCATGCCCTCTTCAATATTTAGTAATTGTTTATAGTGACATATGTATGAAGTTGGAAGAATATGGGTACACCAGAGGCTTCGATGGGGCTGAGAGACAGAAACTAGGGCTGGAGCAGGTTTGAGGGCTCTGGCAAACATCCAGGTAATTGGGTGTCTATGATCAAGTGGTAGGAATGATTTTGTAGCGGTAAAAATCCCTAATAGTGAGGATCTCTTGTCGGTTTATATAAATGAACAATAATGATAACTGGAGTGTGTGTGGGAGAGATGTGCTTTAGCATTTGGAATACCAGTTAAAAGTTAATTGCTCCTGGTGATTTGTCCCAGTTCCACCATGAATTGCATGCAATTCAGTGCAAAGATTAAATGAATATCCAATAAATAAAATCACTAACAGGGTCAACCTATCTCTCTGGGAGGTAGATAAGAGACTCTTGTAATTCCTATTGAGCTCCAAAATGAGAAGAGTCCAGTATTTTTGTAATTAAGTTGCAACCTCAGGAAGGAAACAGGCTCTTGCAGATAAAGTAACTTGAGAGATGTTATACAGCTAGTAAGCAGTAGAAAAGGTCTCTAAACTCTGTTGGGATCCAAATCCCATGCTCTTAGCCATCTGTTTTCCCTGGATTGAGAAATATCAATTGTAGGGCAAGCATCCACAGAATGTGGGAGCATATGAGGTGCATTGGGCATGGGCTTGGGGTGGGGTGTATAAGCTTTTGTGTATATATTGATAGATGTTCTTCCTTGTGGTGATGATGATGGAAATGATCCATTCACATATTCTGATTGTTTCTCTTAATGGCCAGTAGTCCAGTTTTAGATATAAAAATGAGAGAGCCACATTGAACAATGTACCAAAGTTCTCTTCCTGGAACTTTCTGTAAGCAATAGGCTACGAATCTGAACATCAGCATGAGGAAATCAATATATTATGGTAGTGGATAGAGCCTGGAAATGGGAATTGGGAAACAAGGGTTCTACCCTGGCACCACCATAACTCACTCTGTAATATTTGGCATATTGCTTCCTCTTTCTGGACCTCATTTCTCCCCTCTGTCCATTGACAGAGTTGGACTAAATTATTTCATTGAGGCCTTTCTAGTCCTTACATTTTGTGATTCAGTACATCAAAAATCAGTACAATAGTGTTGCCTATAATCCCCTCGAGGCCATAGTATTATTACTACTATCTACAAATAGAGTTAGATCCTACTAACTATAGGATCTAACTCTAAATGCCACCTAATAGGTATCAGTTAGTTTTTTTTTAATAAATCTTTATTCAGATTATTACAGTTGTTCCTCTTTTTTCCCCCCATAG